GTTATTTATTTTTGGTTTGCAGGTAACAGTGACAAAGGTTCCAGTATCAGTCTCAGCCAATCACAGAGTGAGCTCTCTCCGGTCAGTCAGCTGTCGCCAATGAGTATGAGCCCACTCTCACCTGGTTCGCCGCTAAGTTCTGGACTACCAAGTCCAGTTGTTGGTTTTCGTACACCGTCCCTAACGCTGCTCTTCCAAAGATTCATAGTCGTAGATTTCGAGAGTAAGTATCAAAACATGATTATTCTTGGGAATGAACATCCTGGTTTTTCGTCGCCTGGCGACAAGAACGATGAAAACAAAAGTTGAAAACTCTCAAAGTTATTGACTCTTTTTGTTTGTTGTTCATGAAGTAAAAAAAAAAATTGGAAATTCATGTATACCACCAATAAATAAGAATTAACAACATTGGGCATTAAAAACAATAAATTAAAACTCGGATCACAGGAAATTGTCTCCAAGTAAATACTGAAATTGTGAATAGCAGTCTGGAATTTTGTTAATCGACAGCTGCTGGCTAAATGGCTGTCGAGCGGACTTCTTTGAATTTTTATAGTCTGCACTTTCCTCCTGAAGATTAAAACTAAAATATCCACATATTTTGAGTAAAAACTGAAAATGGGTTTGAATTTTGTCTGTTGGCTCCAAAATTAGTATTCATTTTTAGAAATAATGAAAAATATAAGGAAAATTTGCTGAAAAGTTTAGGCAATGAAGGTGAAAAGATTAAGACCTACAACTTGCAAAAGCACAAGATTTTGGTCTCCTACTTTCTAAATATATTCAAAAAAGAAACTCCTGGACGACTTTTATATTGCAAACATTCATTTACAAACTCAGAAAGCATTTTGTTTTGCTCTGTAGCAACTGAGGTGTGTGTTGCCAATGTCCACAGTCAGTGATACCTTGATTTTAAACTTCCCTATATCAGTCAAATTCAACCCCTGCATTGTACGGCCGTGTGTTCTTGTTATTCATAGATATTGCAACCAGATGTTAGATAAAGAAGTTGACGGGTGCTGTACTACGTTACTGCAGACATTATGCAGGTTTCAAGATAAACAGTATCACAAAGACCCGACTAGAGTATGTATAAATTTGTTGTCATATTAACAAAATACGATATTGTTTACGATATTTATTTCAGCAGTTTTGATCAAAGTGATGACAAATGGGTGATTTTCCGTGCGAGATTTCGCGAGGTGCATGAAAGACGCGTTGAACGTCTGCCGTAAAAATCGAACGATTTGAATTTTTTTATTTCGTAGCTCACATCGACCGGCCGATCTTCGACAGAGGAATATTGCTTTCCAATATCCTCACTTAATCGAAATTGCCTATCATCAAATGTGTACAGCACATTATTAAGCATGGAAATATCCCCCAAAATAGTTTTGCGTTTGTCGAATCCCACGCGATGTTTGACTCCACTACGAAGCTATGACCTTTGTTTGTCCTGTTTTTACATTCAATTTCACGCATAACGCGTGATTCTCGCAGTAAACGAAAAATGGTCTATTAACAACAAATTTAAGTAAAAAAATTGTTGGTAGAATTATAGTTGAGTTGAAGCATTCATACATAATGTGATTTGATTTGTTGAAAAAAAAACTGTTGAACAAAGAAGCTGCTTTCTGATTGGCTTAATAGTTGGGTGTTTGGTTTTTGTAGCCAATCAGGCACAATCTTGCAAGTCACTGTGATTTATAGCCATCTCTTATTGCGATGACAGTAATACAGAGTGCTTGCTGCCAGACATACTCAAGTTTTTTTGGCATGTGTTGATTATTTTTAAATTCAACATGCTGTGATGAAGGACGATTACATCGCCTACAGATTTGCAAATTTTTACTTCCATAACGTTATACCGATCACCTTGGGTTGAACATAAAATGAGTTGTCCCTCTACCCTGGGTGAGTGAGCGCCAGACTCAATGAGAAGATTAAATCCACTGGCTGAGATTCATTCACTAACGAATGCAACTTTGCTCATGCTGCCATGAACAAAACAAAACTAGAATGTGTTTGCAAATTGCACATAGAAAATTCAAGAGAGACAACAGTGACATTGAATGTCTAGTCTAAACTTTCATCTGGCACAAAACCAAGAAATTTATACATCATAATACTCCCAAAATCAAATATACGACACCCTTTGACATTTTATCCGATCAGAGACCTGTAAACAAAATATTTTAAGTCAAAATTGAATCTGGTCATGCAGCATAGTTCTAAAACTAGAATTTGGTCTCTGTGGCAAAATGCACCATGTGTCAGCTCTAGTATTTGCAAATTGCACATACAAAAGTCATGAGAGACAACTGTGATGTTCAATGTCTGGCCAAAACTTTCATCTGGCACAAAAATATTTAAAAACAAAAAAACTGTATACATTGCCATGATTTATCACAAATAAATACTTCCAAAATCAAATATAACACCCTGCTTGGACCTTTTATATGATCCGAAAACTGTAAACAAAAAATGTTTTAAGGCAAAATTGAATATGGTGTTTACTTAGCAGGTAATTGAGTTACCATGGTTGCTATTAACATCGTTGAGTTCTGATTGTTATATCGTGTCCTTGTTGTAGGCCAAATCAAGACGTCGGATTGTAATGGGATTACGCGAGGTAACGAAGCACCTTAGATTACGCAAAGTGAAATGCTTGTTGATCTCACCAAACTTGGAAAGGATTCAGTCTAAAGGTACGTAGGGGTCATCCACTATTTGATTCGTTGGGCATTAGTGGCTTGATTTCTCATTTTGATTGGCGTGTATAATATAGCCAAAATAATTTTGTATAAGCTGATGAACGGGGTCCCATGACTAAGTGGTTTCTATAAATAGTGTCTCAGCAACCAATCAGAGCTTTTCTGTGTGAGACACAGACTCGGATTGGCCGATCTACATAATTATTTTGTGATCGCAATAGACCTTAGACAACGGGGTCTCATGACTAATTGGTTTAATTCTATAAATAGTGTCTCGGCAACCAATCAGAGCTTTTGTGCGCGAGACCCAGACTCGGATTGGCTGATCTACATAATTATTTTGTGACCACAATAGACCTTAGAGCGAGAGATTTGTGAGATAGTGTTTTTCCCTTGTCATCGCGTCTTACTGACCCATGTAACCATAGTGTTTAAGAGGTGTTGACCGACAAGAATGGAACGCTGTTTTAGGCGCGAAAACAAGCTTCGCTCTTAACAGGATTTTGACGACCATTGTCACGTAATTGTTATTGAAAACGATTTAAAGCCTTTATTTACATCAGATAAAAATGAGATTGGAGTACATTCCATTGCATTGAAAGATAATATTATGTATGTATAAGTGGGGGTAGTTTCACTCAATATCGTACATTCCTGTGGGAACTTCTGAAGGCACAAGCTAAACTATTGCAACACCAGATTTTATTATGTTTGTAAAATATGAATTTTCTTTTACCAAATTACAAATTCCATAACTTTAGTAAAATGTTTTTTCTAGATCGAAGTATAATTTTTTATTTTATGAGGGAATAAGCACAGCTACTGTAAAATACTTTATATTAACTCGAATTATTTTTCGTTGAAAAGATTTTTTACGCGTTTTGTATGTAATTTGTTGAATTTTGGTGAGTTGAATGTAAAAAGTATATTTGCTTTATTTTATTTTCACTTGAGCAAAAATAGCAAAAACAAATTCTGAATGAAAATAAATTATTTCACAGTAGTTGCCAAAGTAAGAATCTTCAGTGAAGCATTATATTAGAGGGTGCACTGTCTATCATCATCATCAACCACTAATATTTTTTGTGGGATTCCATTTTCAGGTGGTTTAGACGAAGCACTCGATGTCATTATCAGCTTGGCGCAGGAACAGGATGTGCCGTTTATATTTGCCTTGGGGCGTAAAGCGCTGGGTCGTGCGGTTAACAAATTAGTTCCTGTTAGTGTGGTGGGAATATTTAACTATGATGGCGCAGAGGTAAGGAGGACGTTTTGTACGCGCATATATTATACTGCCATTTTTTATTTCATCAATATTGTCATCAAAGTTTGAATTGGGCATAACTGTTTTGAAAATGTCTACGATCTTGACGCAAGGAAAACGTTCTAAAGTCGTACGCATAATTGATGTAAAAAGCTGTATTAATAATTGTACCAAAACGTTATCAGCACTCAAACGCTGAATTTTTTCCCCCCGACTTTTCAGGTTATTGACATTGCCTTTGACAACTTTTCTTTGTTTAAATTGGATGTAGAAGTGCTATAGCCTGCAATGAAAATGGAATCACTAAACGCAAGCGTTCACATAGCACAAACAATTTTGGGCTATAATCTGTAATTGAATTATTATTTCAAGCAGGAAAGTTATAAAAATACCGCAAAATATGCACTCTGGCAGTACAGGATCACATCAACCTTTGCTTTATGTCGCTCGCTCGATTCAATCACTCTTCTACTTTCTCATGATAACCTCATATTACGATGCTTTTTATACTTTGAACTTTGAACTTTTACAGAACACATTCCGTGAACTGCTTGATTTATCCGCTAAGGCAAGGGCGGTTTATAACGACATGGTTGTGACGTATCAACAGGAAATAGAATCACAAAACGCTGCCAGGATAGCTAAACACCGACAGCACATGGGGCACAATCGGAACTTATCCGGCTGTAGCGGGATATCCTTCAGTAGTGTCATATCCGAACCAATTTCGGAAAATTATCCGGATCCAGAACCGGAGTTTGATGAGTTCGGGAGAGAAATCGAACAAGGAAATGCGTATTCGCAGGATCATGGCAATATTACATCGACGAGACTTGAACGAACTGACGAGGAAGTAGAGAAGACGATCACAACTGAGGTTTTGAACAGTTACGATAATGACGGTGATGTTAATGTTGAGTGTTTAAGGACAAGGAGTCGGAGCTCATCACAAAACGTCAAAGAGGATGGGGAGGGGGATGACGATGTTGACGACGACGACGAAGAAGAGGAGGAAGAGGAGGAGGAAGAAGAAGATGACGACGATTTAAGTGAAGAAGATGATAATTGTGAGATTACGCTCGAAAACGACAAAGTCTGTGATTCTTCATTCCCTGTCGACAAAGACCGCATTGAATGCTGGGTAGCCGAAGCTCAGAGTTGTATAAGCTCTCTAAAAATTGAAGACATTGAAAATGTGCCATGTCATGAGGCTGCCGGGAATAGTCATCCTCCGGATATCCCGGAAAATGTTCGTCCTGGCAGTAGTTCTCAAGAAGTTGATACTAGTGAAAAGAACTGTCATAGTGATAGCAGATACGAACCAAACTCCAGTTAGCACTGTATTTTTTATAAAGTAGATATATATCCTTAGCCCTTCCTTTTAATCAACCCTTTGATCGCCAAAGTCAACTTTTTGTCGCTTTTCACCTGCAAAAATGAATTTTTTTTTATTTTCGAAAATTTTGATTATATGTGCGTTTGATTAAAAATTAACAAAATATAGAGAATTACACAAAAAATGTGCAAAGTTTTGGTCGGTTGCGGCAATGGCGGCGTTCAAAGGGGTAATATTGTGTTGACGTGAGTGAGAGTGCTTTGTGTTTGCATGTGTATCTTAAATAATATTCAGAAATAGATTTCAACCGCAATCAAATTTTTTTGCCTGTCTTGATATATTTATGAGTCATTTAAATTTTTAATTTGACAGTCATTCTAGAATAAATATGTAAATCCAGTTTGTGTATACAGATCCAAATGAGATGCGCTGTAAACTTTGCGTACTCGTCGCTAAATTTGTGTTAATTTTTTAATACTAAATAAACTAAAGGTTTATGCACCCTTGGGAGGTGACCTTGACCATTCAAGGGTCAACTGTAGAGGGTGCTCTTTACATGCGTGCAAGATCACAACTTGTCTTGGAGTGTGTTTAAAGCAGAAAGTCATTAATTTTTACAGATTTGACATTTTAGGTTTTGTTTTTCAGACCTACTTGAAGGCTTAAGTTGATTTACTGACATCTTGCTATGAACAGAAAATCACCTTTTCACCACCAGTTCCCTCTTTTCATCACAAATTCACAAAAATATTCCCGTTTTTAGTCTGCACTTTCTTTCAGAGGATTGGGACAAAAATAGCCAAATTTTTTTAGTAAAACCTTAAAATTTGCTAAAATTTTGTCTGTTGGCTCCAAAATTAAGGTTCATTTCCAGAAATATTGAGGAATGTACGAGAAAAGTGCAGAGAAATTTGGACGAGAAAGTCTGGTGGTGAGAAGGTTAAAGCAGTATATAGTATGTATATTAGCTCAAGCAGAATTGTAATCAGTGTTTACTTGCCAACATCTCTTGAGAAAAATCTCTCGTTGTCGATCTGTTAAATGTCGTTTAGTGGTTTCGCTGACTTCTGCTCTGGTACGTTTCAGACCAGCTGTATAAATTGACAACCTTGTAATTATTAACAACTGAAATCGGACAACTTATATTTGTATTTTATTTTCCTGATTTATTATTCTCATTTATGAACCCTGTAAAAAAGAATACACATTTAGATTAATATATTTGTTAATGTTACTATAACAGTTTCTTTTTATTATATACAAAAAAAAAATGTTTTTTTTGGGTGCTTTGCTCATATTACACTGTTCGTTTTGATGTTTAATATACTGTGAAATACTTTATTTTTGCTGAAAAGGCTTTTTGTGAGTTTTGTATGGAATTTATTTTCACTGATTTTTGACAAGTTTAATGTGAAATGTAGGATTACAAGTTTATACGCTGGATTTTATTTTCACGGAATCATTCCTTCAGCGGAAATAGCGAAAATAAATTCCAAGCGAAAATAAAGTATTCTACAGTAATAGTCAAGTGCTTCACATCAAGCCTTATGTTTCAAGTGTACGTAGATAAGTATTTACAGAGGGATTTCTCAAAGTTCTGTCCAGGGGCTTTCTTTTTAATGGTGCACGAGCAGTTTTGTTATTGATTACAGCTCATAATCAATCCACCAAAGCAGTATTAATCATAATCTCATTTTAAAGGTGCTGATTCAACAGAGCAGGAAATGGCACCCTCTGCAGTTCATATGCTGGCAATCTTCATGTGGATATACAGTAATATATTTGGCCTAACAAAAAAAAAAAAAAAGTTTCTGGTCCGTGTGTGTGCCGATATTTTCTCACTTATTTTGTCACTGCACAGTGCCCTCTGTTGATAAATTGATTATACCTTGGTGTGATATCGAATATTTTATCATAGACCTTAAAAGACCTAAAGTCTATGATTTTATCAAGATAAAAAAAAAATCGCTATACAATGAAAAACAATTTCATCAGAAACTTTTTTTTTTTTTGCCTGGCCTTAGCAGCATTAAAATTGCCTTTGGTGATGACATTTTTAGTTAGTCTTCCAAGACTAATGTGATTTTCTCCATGATGTATTATTACATGTGCTCAATTTTATGCATATTTGATGCATGGTTTAGAATAGAAACATGTAGGGAATCCTGTATTGACTGTTATTACGCCGAGTATGCACGTTAAAGATCATGGTACTCGATGGGTTTTCACTGGCCACTGATGTATGTGTTTGTTTCTACTGTGGATACGTGAATGAAAGAATTCTGCGAGAGAGTTTAAAATTTACATTGTTTTGGCCACAGTTACGTTTCTAGGAAGAATCATCTATACTGGTATACCATAGCTTCACTTATAAGACTCTCCCTGATTGGCTACACAACCCTAATACCTGACAGTTCAGCCAATCAGAAAGCAGCTTGTTTGTTGACGGGTTCTTTCAACGAATCATGCCTTGTATTATCAAACATCGCATTTTCTGATTTAAAGGAAACATAAATCCAAACAACATAATGACCTCTAAAGAAAAAGCTCCACAAATGTAGGAGAATGCAATTTACAGTTTTTTTATATCACTTTTCATTCTGAGAATGGAGTAGCCCAAAAACTGATGACCAAACATTTTATGATTGGCCTTCTCATGTCATGTGATAACTTGACATGTGATGACCTGGCATTCTGTGATTGGTTATCTTGTGACATGTGATGACAATACATTGGTTGTCTTATCCGGTTGTACAAAACTGAATGTTCATTGATTTAAGGAGTTTTTTGGAGATTATTTTTTGCAAGAATTCTAATGGCTGAAACCTGTTACTATTTGTGATAATTTAATTTAAGACTTTTGCCGTTCTTGGCATCATGTAAATTAGACAATATAACACACGGTGGTTCAAATTTAGTGAATGTTATCCATTTGACGTCATTCAACGCAGTTTGTAAAATGTATAGAGACTCTTTCAGTCCAGTTTTTTTGTATTGGCGGGAACGTTTTTTCACTCATCTAAGTTTCATGTTATTAAAATAAAGCAGCTTAGTAAAATGTTAGTTTTTCTCTACTGGGGAAAGTAATAGAAATTCCTCTTAAAAAAAAAAAAGTCTTCATGTTGGATTGTGGATAAAATGGAATTTTTTTGGGGACTTTGCAATATTGATTAAAATTAGTTCTTTTTACAATTAGTTACATTATTGGAATAAATGCTATGTAGCTTCTCAAAACATAATGTGTGTATTTTTATAAAAAATATGGCTGTTGAATTATTTTGCACTACTGAGCATGTTACCTTGCCTATGTGCAAAGCATTCTGGGAGATAAATTCTCTTTGTATACGAGAGAAACTATAATCATACTGACGACACTATTAAAATGTTAATTTTTTTCAAATGTTTTGAATTAAGATGCATGAGGTTTACGAGAATACCTAAGTATGCACGAAGGTAGTACGAGAGTATCGACCGACACGCAGCGGAGTTCAATGCGACAGCGTATTACGTACTGTCTGAGTGCATACTTTGAGGTATTTTTGTAATAACATTATACATCATGGGAATGCCGAAATCCAAAAAGTTTAGAACAGAATCAGCGAACTTCTATGTGTTTGTTTTTATTATTAGAGGATGCTTACGCGCATAGTATTTGGAATTCACATTTCCATATATGGTAGGATGAAAATACCCCGTAAAATTACGGCACGCTGTAACTTATGGCGTTACGGTGACAGATGTATAATAATGATTGTTGTACCATTTTGGTTATTGAGCAAAATTTTAAGATATTAAATGATTTTGCCATAAAAGACAGTATCAACTTGTTAAGTTAAATTGTTTTCCCCCCAAAACATTTTGGACTTCTGTTTCTCAAAAAAGTTCCATATTATCTTTTATATGATCAGTGATAGTTATTGCGCCCTCATTGACAACTGTGCGAGTGTATCTGTCAACGAGGCGCAATAACTTTCTAACCATGTCTGACTAATAAATGTGGGAGTTGACTCAGAGTACTGTAAAATACTTTTTCACTTGGAATTAATTTTCGCTATTTTCACTTTAGGACTGATTCATATACCTTTTTGCCTATATTTTACATTCAACTTGTCAAAAAAATCAGTGAAAATAAATTCCATACAAAACACTCAAAAAGTTTTTTCAGTGAAAATTAATTCCAGCTAAAATAAAATACTTTACATGGCACTTCAATCTCAGTACCAAGTATCTGGTTCACTGTTCCTTAAAATCGTTGCCCTAAAATTGGTTTAGTTCTGATCTGTGATGGTTGGTTAAATAAGAGAATAAAAATTATTAATGTTCAGATATTTACTGTATTCTTGCCTACATTCAGTCTCTTGTTTAATTTTTTTGGTGTTTTTTTAATAAAATAAAAAATTATGCTTGAATTAATATTTTGCTGAAAGACATTTTGGCTGTTTTGTATATAGTTTATTTTCACTAATTTTTTGGCGAGTTGAATGTAAAATATAAGGTGGAAGGTATATTCAGTGGATTTTTTTTCCACTGGTTCAACCTTTCAGTAAATATAAATTTCAAGTGAAAAATAAAGTACAGTACGCAACAGTTCTCTATTTGAACAACATTATTCATACCTATCTACATCAAGCAGTTTGCCACCAGAGGGCGCTCATCACTGAAAATTTGCCCGAGTTTCACAAGGTTTCTCAGATCACGGCACTGCAATGACACCTGGCAAAGCCGGCCATGTCTTGTTAATACATATGTATTCAAATGTCACTTACTATGAGCTGGTCAAACAGGAATGTTTGGTAGTAAAACGTGGTTTATTAGCCAGCTTATGGTACATTGCCTGTTTTTATGTATTTTTTATATTTTTTGATGATTTTGCACCAAATGGACATTATTTCCATACAACTACAAGTCTTGATTACAGTTTTTGAAAAAAAAAATATTCAGTTTAAAATTTGTGGCGATGAAAAAAATTCGTCTTTGGCTCTCTAAGATCGTGTTCGATT